AATAAGTCAAAGTGCCATAAAACAAGGTAAAGTATTAAAAACAGGAACATATTTGCTTTGATGTTTCTTTTGATATTATCAAATGTTTAAAATCCCTTAAAGAAATCAAAGTGAACAATTTCACTTCCTGTTGTGAGGTGTTCCAGGTGCAGGAGCCGAGGAAGAAAAGGACTTTTTGCCAAGTCCAGTCTGCACTGAGGGAACACTGCAGGTAATGATGTCCTAGAGCTAGAGCTGCCATTTCTACAGACCGACCCGGTTTAGGGCCGGGCCGGTCTTCGTCTTTGATGTGGTTTTACAAATCGTACAGCACAGAACTAATAAAACTAAATAAGAAATGCACAATATAAAATTGTGCAAATCTACTTCGAGGAGGAGGAATGCAATAAAATAGAGTACAGAAGTTAATCAGAAAAGAGAGTAGCACTGGCGGCGCATTGCGCAGCAACTTCGCGTGGCCCCGCCCACCAGGCTCTGCTCCACAGCAGGTGTATGTGCGTCACAGACATGCTGGAGCGCAAAACCATTATTCACGACTCGCACAGAGCTGCACTTTTCCTGTGGGCTAACTTTAACTAACTTAAAACGATGCCGCCTGCTGTCAGGTGCACGCTCAGGTCTGCACCCCGCGCTCAGCTGCCGTGGAAGAATTTGCAGCCCCAAGAAGCAACAACAACTTCTTGACAGATTTTTAAATATATTTATAATTTTGTATTTAAGCAACTGGGGTCTAATTCCAGCTTTATTTCACAGGTTCATAGCTGAAGAAATGAGGCTGTGGCTGATTATATGACAGACCCGACGCAAACTGAGCAGCTGCTTTTTATTTTGTTCATGTTGGTGCAAGTCTTAGGTTTTTGAAAGCTGAAATCTGAGACCTCCTCTGTTTAAAAATGGTTTCTCTCTTTTTACATAAACAGCCTCCTTCACTCCTGTCTTCTCAGTCCCAAATGCAGACAAACAGTGGGACAAACAGTGGGACAAACAATGGGACAAACAATGGGACAAACAACGGGACAAACAACGGGACAAACAATGGGACAAACAATGGGACAAACAATGGGATTAACCTGTATGAATAAAGGTTGAATGAAACACTGCACAGGACCACTCTACATTGATGCTGGGCTAGTGGGGGCACCTAGTGGCAGAAATAAGAACTACAACAACAATTCTAAACTACACACATACTTCCAGAGGGCTGAAAACAAGCAAATAACAGTCTTTTGTACAATAAAAGTACAAAATAAAGTACCAAGAAGTGAAAAAGAATTATAATTTTTACAAGATCTAAACAAAATATAGTAAACAACATGGTAGAATATAACAATGCAAGTAGGAAGAATTTATATAAATAAGTATTTCAAAGGTAGTAATGCTGTATTAATTTAAATGTACATGCTATATGTTGCACATAACTAGCATATACTACACAGGTTGTGTGACAGGTTATTACACAGGTAGTGAGTAACATTGAGGTGAATTTAATTATGATGGTAAGGTAGTGACATACATGATATATTTTATGTATGGCATATGACATACATGATATATTGTATGTATGGCATATGACATACAAGATATATTGTATGTATGGCATATGACATACAAGATATATTGTATGTATGGCATATGACATACATGCATATTGCCTCCACTAAAATACACATTCATTTTCCTTTAAGCTAACACATTTAGCTACATCTACTAGCACATTTAGCTACATCTACTAGCACATTTAGCTACATCTACTAGCACATTTAGTTACATCTACTAGCACATTTAGCTACATCTACTAGCACATTTAGTTACATCTACTAACACATTTAGCTACGTCTACTAGCACATTTAGCTACGTCTACTAGCACATTTAGCTACATCTACTAGCATATTTAGCTACATCTACTAACACATTTAGCTACGTCTACTAGCACATTTAGCTACATCTACTAGCACATTTAGTTACATCTACTAGCACATTTAGCTACATCTACTAGCACATTTAGCTACATCTACTAGCACATTTAGCTACTTCACTGACTCGGTTCTTCTTGATGATGAAGTGATGAACAAGCTGAGAAGCTCTGAGTGTATCAGTGTCTCCACAGTAATAAGGTCGGTGGTGTTTTGTTAAAAGAGGTGGGACACAAACTTATTGACCTTAAATCAGACATAGGGCCAGACAAAGCCTTGAAGTCCTCCATCACTGAGCTTGGGTTCATTACAGAGAAAATCATAAAACTGAAGAGGAACAAATACTGTAAAGCTGTGACCTCCATACACCTGAAATCATACCTGGTGTTCTCGTCACTGTTTTCTAACCTTCTGAGGATCCAGCGTCTCTTCTCTGGTGGTTTATTCTGAGTCCTTCTCCTCCATCTCACTCTGTCCTCTGTGTCCTCTGTCCTCACTCTGTCCTCTGTGTCCTCTGTCCTCACTCCAACTACCTCCATGTCCTCTCTAACTTTATCCATGTATCTCCTTGTCTTTCCTGGCAGCTGCATTTCTAACATCCTTCTACCAATATACCCACTGTCCCTCCTATGGACATAGATAAATAGATGGATAAATAGATGGATAAATAGATGGATAAATGGATGGATAAATGGATGTATGTATGGATGGATGTATAGATGGATGGATGGATGGATGGATGGATACTTTATTGTCCCACAGGGGAAATTTTTCTTGGACATCATGCGCTAAAGAAAGCTTCTTCCACAGTTAAAAACACTACAAACAATAAAATCATGTGAATACCACAATAAAAAATAAAAAAAAACACCTTTTGCTCAATAAAAACACATTGCACATTCCCACATACATTCCAGCAAGTAAACGATACAACAATGAGACCAGAGCATCAACACATAACAAAAAACTATATGCCTACTTTATTTAATAATGTGATTGATGAATAGTCATTATTACTACTACTATTATTATTATATCCTTTGTTTCAACTGTGGTTGGTGTTAAAGCGCTTTATAAATAAAGTTGATGATGATGATAAATAAAGGTTGAATGAATGTAGGGATAAATTAATTTTTAAATCTACAAGCAGGGACTCTAAACTGTTTTCCAGATGTTAACAGTTCGTATCGTGAGCGGGTCAGACAGCACCTCCGAGCACGTCTGAGGACAGACTCCTCATAGACAGACTGCAGGGAGGGGTGATCAGGTCTTCTATCTCCTTCACTGCAGTTTGTACCATGTGATTAAGTTTAGATTAGAGAGAAGACCACACCACGCTGACGTTCCAAACCTGATGATGCTTTCCAATACGGCCTGATAGAATAAAACCATAAGCTTCTGGCTAACCCCAAAGACTCTGAGTCTATGTAAAAAAAAGTAGCCGAGAGCACAACATATTAACATTAATTTCCCACTTGAACAGATTATCTAGGTGAACACCCAGATATCTGTAAGAACAGGCCTGGTTTATTTTCTGTTCATGAATATAAAGTGGGAGGTTGTCACTCAGAGACCTGGGGTCAATCAGCATCTCGTCTGTTTTTGTGGCATTAATAAAAGGTGGTGGTCATCGCACCATTGAACGAAAGACCGGACCTCGTTAAAATATGATGAGGAGTCCATATCCTCATGCAGCAAGCTGAGAATAGCATTATCATCAGAGAATTAAAAAAAGTAATTCCTGGGGCAGCTGCTGATGCAATCATTTGTGTAAATGGTGAAGAGGACAGGAGAGGTAACAACCCTGGGGAACCCCGGTACTGATGGATCTTGGCTCTGATAAGTTGTTATTGACTCAGACAAGCTGTGAGCTGTTTGTTTAAAAAAGAATAAAACCATTTAATAAGAGGAGGATTAAGATTCATCTGCTGTAATTTCTTAACCCTTTCATGCATGAATTATGATAACTTCATCCAGGATTTTTTTCTAAAGTGTTTTTATTTTTCTTAGGGCTTAAAAAAAATGGGATGAAAAAAAAAGTATCCACTCAGCTGGACAGCATGCATTTTGAGATTCTTTACTAACAAAATACTGTAGGCTATAATGTGAACATATTTTGAAATAGTTTGACACTGCTCAACTGACTGCATAAACACAGAACTTTGCATGTTGCCCTTCTCTCATTCTAATATTCACTCCATCTCATTCAACCTCTTGATCTCTTTTTTTAGTTTTTTCAGAGCTTTACCATAACAGTATATTTTAGTCGACATATTTATTTTACAAAAATAACAATAACACACTTGACACTTTAGCCATCCTGTTAAAAGTAACTCATCAGTACAGTCTCTTGAGTTTCAGACTTGTACATCAATCTTGCAAGTCTATCTTGTATAAAATTTTCCAAAGCACCCAGGGCACAGAGCCACAGCACAATGCATGCAGATGTATTTGGATTTTTTGTGTGCAGGCTGGGTCATTGCATCTGTTTGCATTTTTTGCTTCAGTGAGCTGGGGCCAGTGTTCTCCAGGGCCAAACCTGGTCTCAGGAGGTACCTTAGACCCTGCTCTGTGTTTTAATGGAGGCGGGATGGCACTGGGTCTTCCTCTTGTGCGTGTCTGTATGGAACTCTCATTTATTACCGCACAAGCCACAGATGCCAAGATGCACCAACAACCTTGCGGCCATAGCTCAAGGCAGCTACCTCTACAACTGATGTGCGGAACATGGCCCACTTGGACTCAATGTCCCCCCGCCTCAGCTGGAATCTCCCGGAGGTGTGAGTTGAAGATCTTTCTGATGGGTTCTTCTCCCAAAAAACCCTCACTACACATTTGGATCTACCAAGTCTGTCCAACATCTTCCCCTGCAATCTGATCCAACTCACTACCAGGTGCAATAATTCTCAGTCAGGTCATCTGAACAGTTTCTTTTTTATAGAGACATTTCGCCCTCTATCCGGAGGGCTTCATTAGTCAGAGGAGTTCCAGTAAACTGTTTCCCCACCAAGCAGTAAGCTCCTTAAGTGGACCAACCAGTTTGAGCATGAACTTTGTTCTCTACCAGGTGGTTATCAGTTGATATCTCAGCTCTTCTCTCCACCTGAGTGTCCAAAACAAATGGGTGCAAATCATATGACGCAACTACAAAGTCATTCTTCAATCTATGACCTTGGGCATCCTTGCGCCAAGTGCACCTATGAACTCAATTATGTTTGAATATGGTGTTCGTGATGGACAAACTATGACTAGCACAGAAGTCCAACAACAGAACACCGCTCAAGTTCAGATCAGAGTGGCCGTTCCTCCCAATCACGCCCTTCTGGGTCATACTGTCATTATTCAAATGAACAATAAAGGCCACCAGCAGAGTAAAGGAGTCCCCAGTTGGTGCACCTTCCAGCACCCCCGCCAAGGACTCCATGAAGGCCAGATACTGTGATCCTCCACCTGAAGACGCAAGGAAGCTACCCTCTCATCCACAGGGGAAAACTCCCAACACACAGGCACCAAGTTGAGGGGCTAAATGTAGATCCACACCAGCTCAGCGCCTCTCAACATGGGCAACTCCAGAGTGGAATAAGGTCCAGTCCCTCTCAATGAGATTTGTTCCAGAGCCCATATTGTGCATCGAGATGAGCCCAACTACTGTATATGTAGTCAGTACCTATCAACCTCACACACAAGCTCACGCTCCTTCCTTGCCAGAGAGGTTATGTTCCATGTCCCAAGAGCCAGCATTGGTAAGCCATGGTCAGAGAGCCAAGGCCCCTGCCTTTGGTCACTGCCCATGGCATCATGCACCTGACTTTTTTGGCTTCTCCTATAGGTTGTGGGCCCACAGGGAAGACAAACACATGTTGCTCGTTTGGGCTGAGGCTGACTGGGCCCCATGGGCATAGACCGAGTCACCAGACACTCGCCGACAAGCCCATCCCCAAGGACTTGCTCCAGGGATATAGCCCCAATATCCCAAGTCTGGGCAAGGGACACTGAGCTCCTTGTTTTCTTTTGCCCATAAAAATCTTGGGAATTGCTCTTTGTCCAGCCTGTCGGTTAGAAACAATCTGCCTTGGGAGACCATACCAGGGGTAATTACAATTGCTCCCAACAGCATAGCTTCTAGGATCATTCAGGTGCACAAACTCCTCCACCACGATAAGGTGATGATTCAAGGAAGAGAATGTAAATTATTCAAATTCAAAAATACTTTATTAATCCCAAAGGAAAATTATTTGTCGTTGTAACTCGTTGTCCTCATTTCATTAAGAGATGTTATAGATACTGATGGCTGCAGGCAGGAAGGATCTCTTGTAAAGGTCCATCCCACAGTGGATCCTAAGAAACTGGCTTCAGATGCCATCCGATCCGTCCACCCAGACTCGGCTGGCCTCTCAGTTCCCCCAGGCTGTAGGACCGCCCGAATGCTGGGCAGAACTCCTCCCAGAGCGATGGCCTCTCCTCTCAGCAGTCTGCCGAGCTCCTCGTTGCTGCGGACAGCCAACTGTAGGTGCCAAGGGATGATCCTGTCCTTCCGCTGTCATGAGCCGTGTTTCCTGCTAGTTCCAGGATCTAAAATCTTTTTTAGATTTTTCTACCTGGATTATTGAGCATGCATCAGGATATTTGTTCATTAGGGTTTGGGGGATCATGGTATTGAAGGCAGAGTGTACTCAATGTCACTCACAATACAGCCAAAACCTCAACTCCAACTTGGAGGAGAGCTACAAGATTGCTATAGACATCGTTGAGAAAGTAATGGGGAAGAACAAAGCTCGTTTTGATAAACACGTGGCTCCATCTAGCCTGAACATTGGAGACAGAGTACTAGTCTGCAATGTGAAACTGAGGAGGAAACAGAAACTTGCAGATAAATGGGAGTCAAATGTCTATGTTGTTGTGAAAAGAGCTGGAACACTGCCAATGTACACCATTTGTCCAGAAAAGAAAGACAAACCGCTACAAACTGCACACCGTGACTTATTGTTGCCCTGTGGATATTCACCTATCCATACTCAGTCAATGTTTTTTTTTTTTTTTTTTTCATTTACCCTTTATTTATACAGGTAGTCTCATTGAGCCACAAGAATTCATTTTCAAGAGAGACCTGTTTAGGGAGCAGATGGGGGTTAAGGGGCTTTTTCATGGGCCCAGAGTGGGGCGAATGAGGATGGGGGTGTCATGATCAGCGGCCCCTGCTGACCCCCCATCTGCTCACTTCCCTGCCCCTTCATGACATGCCATGTTTTCTGCCCCTCTCCTTCATGTTTTGTTTATCCCTCAGCTCCTGTCATTGCTCACATCTGCGCCTGTCAGTTAACAGTTCACCACACCCCCTCAGCCTATCACAGCAATCAGCCCTGATTCCACTCACCTGTTCAGCTCATCTGGTTCACCTGCTCTGCACCCTTTATAAGACCCATTCTCCCTCTCCACCAGTGCGAGATTATTACACCTTCCATGGTCCCTGATTTTCAAGCCTTCACAGTTTCATGCCTAGACCTCATGCCTAGACCTCAAGCCTTGCTCTCTGGATTATTGACCTCACGCCTGCCTTCTGGATTTCCCGTTTTTTGCCTGCCCCTCATCTGGTTCTGTTCTGTCTCTCTGATCATGGTAACGGCCTCCTCTTCAGTCTATGACCTCGACTCTCGGATTATGTTTTTGGAGTGCCCTTTGGACCACAAATTTGCATGGCCCCACTGTTCATAGCATTAAAGGCCTCCCTCTGCAGCTGCCTTATTAATAAAAGCTGTTCTTAATTTTTGCACTCCTGTGTCTGGCTTATTTTGAACCCAAAACCCTGGTTTGTGACTGAATAATCTCGCCAAAATGGATTAAAAGCCAGAACAGGAGTGGCTCTCTGGGCTCGAGGGCTCCTTGACTAATCTGGACATTCAAATGCAGCTCATGTTGACAATGCTCCATGCCAAGTTTTGCACACCCACCCCAGAGACCCTTCTTTACCCATAGCCTGTTGCAGCTCTGACCCCATCGCCTGCTGCAGCTCTGACCCCATCGCCTG